TTCCTGCTGCCCAGTTTAAAACCTCTGGTATCACTTGGATCAAAAACTTCTACCTGAAGCATTACTTCTTTTAAAAGATTCTTCTGTTTCACCCTTGGGTTTGGAAGGAGTGAGGGAGGGAGGGAAGGAAGGAAATAAGAGAAGTCTACAGACTTGCCCCAGTTCAGTCCCTCATTTCAAAATCCACACAATGATGTCTTAACTGGGACACAGCAGTACCTCATCTTTCGGTCGTGCCATCCATGTCTGCAGAATAAGCAAAGCTGAGTTACCGGACAAGTTCTTGTAGCAGATAAGAGAGGGTTCTGGGGCTGGAACCCAGATGTCCTGACTTCCAGCCTCACCAGGCTGCTGGCCACTACCACACTTGGAAGGGCTGGCCCTTCCCCTACAATGGAAGCCCGCCTCCCCCAGCAAGGGAAGCCCAAAGCCCAAAGTTTCCCTCTGCTTGTCCGGCTCTCTGTGTGAGTTTCCATTGCTCTGCTGGTAATACACTGTGGTCTGCATGGGTTCTCTCCTGCCCTGAAGGTTCTTGCTGATCTGCTTGGCCTTTGATGACAGCGAAGCTCTCACAATCTGTCATGTCCTTCCAACTTTCCTGCCTCACTTCCTCCAGTGAACTCCTGGCTCCGTGAGCTCCTAAGTCACAAAGGCTTTCCCATGAATTCCTTGAACCCCCTAAATGGGCTTCTGCACTCACGGCTCCCCAGTGTCTTGGGTGATGGGTCTGCCTTCTAGAAAGTTCCAACCCTTCTCTTAATTCAAACGTCTTCTCCCCTCTTTCCACTCTCCCACCTGGAAACTGACCTCAGTCTTCTATGCCCATTCAGTCCTTCCTCCCTCTCATCTCCCCCGCCTTGCCCTTTTCTTCCATTTACCTCTCTCCAACCATACTTTCTCTTCCCTGGTCCTGCTGTACTTTCTGGTTCTGAAATGTAGAGCTCTCAATGAAAACAGTCCCAGAATGAGACACTCTTCAGGCCTCTGTTGGCCTCATTGGTTTATTCTTCACCTCCTGCCCCTACGAGATAAAGGATGGGAGCTGCTCTGTCAGAGGCCTCATGGGTCAAAGATCAGCTTTGGTTCCTACAGCTGGCACGTCCCTGAAGCCTCTGCCCCAGCCTGTTGCTAGCCCAGAGGCTTCTGCTCTGGCCAAAGATTCACATCCTTTTTGAGGGCTCTTGGCCACTGTTCCATCTCACTTGTGCCTGTCCTGCTTGTGTGCGTCACAGATCCCTCTTTGCCCCTGAAGACTGGAGAGCCTCATGACTCTCCAAGCATGGGGAAATATCCGTTCCAATAACCCTGCCACCAAACAATCCATTTTCTTCAGAGATATCTTGTCCGCCACCAGCCTTCTGGCCTCAAGATTCCATTCACAGGCAACTGTGGACCTGACCCAAGGTAATCTGCAAGGGTCGCCAATGACCTGGGTCCTAGGAAGCACCCTGCTCTGTTCCCCCCACATGCCTTCTTCCACCATCCTCCCCAAACCTGGGAAACTTGCCTCTGGAGTATTTTCAAGGAAGCTCGTTGTGTTTCAATGAAGTGTTTTTCAGTGTTCCTATTTTTTATACACACACACACACACACACACACACACACACACACACACACACACACATATATATAAATGCAGCATTTTAGTGACAGATCCGATATGAAAGCTATGTCTTCCTAGGCTCTATATTTGATTTCAGAAGGCAGCATACTACAGCAGGAAAAAAGCACAGGGCTGAGGCTCTTGGAGACGTGGCTCCGGCCCTGGCTTTGTCTCCATCTTGCCATGTGACCAAGGACAAGCCACGTTCTCACTCAGCACCTCCGTTTCCCATCTGTAAAGTGAGGGGCTTTGACCAAAGGAGTTCTGAAGTTTCACCCTGCTCTTACATGTAGGGCTCCCATTCCCCACTGGCACCTGCTCCTCTCCTCAACTGGGCTGCACACATCCCGTTCCACCCACCCCACGGCGGCATCCTCAGATGCCCTAGGCAGCCACCAGACTCCTCTCCAGAACCTGGGGAGGGGCCTGTGGTTGCAGCCACCCAGGGGTGCTCTCCTGTCTGACGGTGTAAGAGCCTACCCATTCAGTGGGTTACCAACCGTGTGTCATGGAATCCCCCCCCACCATCTAGACACACCTAAATCATCTTAGGTGTCTGTGTCGTTGGGGAATTCTGAAGCTTTCATTTTGACGCGGTCCTTAAAGCTGGAGGGAGCTGGTTCTGATTTCAGAGAGGGGACAGGCTAGAGGAGAAAGGTCCAGAGGTTGGCCCGCAGTGGCATGAAGTTTGTATTTGAGGGCAGCTTGGAAACGCATTCCAAGCCACGGAGGGGAATGCACAGCAGAGCCCCTGTGGGGCAGTGGATGTTATATCCCCCTCCAGAACCTGTGTCCTGAAGACAGAGTCCAGACACTGGGCTCCGTTCACCTGGAGGAGGGGGAGACTTCCCCCCTGGGCAGCTAAGAGGTGGGGACCCACCCCATCCCAGTACCTTTCTAGCCCCTCCTTGTGACACTGTCATCCTCCTGGTGAAAGCTTGTGAAGAAGCAAGAATTGAGAGTCCAAGTCAGTATCATTGAACCCATCTTGTAAATCGACAAACACATCAACCATCCATCAGTCAGAGAAATGACGTCATATGTTTTCTTAATACCATCCCTCCTGAGGGAGGGGAAGACCCCTGCTCAACTCTGCTGTCCACTCCCGCTGTGACCCTTGAATGCCACTGCCTGGGAGGACTCATTCATTTGCTTCGTAGTGGCAATATTCCTCTAGCTCTATAACTCAACTAGACATTTTGTAGTAAAGAATTATTGAAATTCTCTAATAAAAAAAAAGCAATTCTTACTGTAATGTTTTTAGTTTGGGGACACAATTTCCTAAGGGGAGATTAATGAACATTTTTACGCATTAGCCCAAT